GTCGCAATTTTGCAGTTGCAACCGCTACAGCGACATGCGGGTACTGGATCATATTCTGCCAGCTCGTCCCACATGACCTTCAGCTTCCCGTAGTAAGCCATCACTGCTTGTCCCTGTTGTTTACAAGCGACCAAGTCAGCCTTCAATTGATGAACTCGCGGTCCATTCCCGATAGAGAATCTCTGTCGCAGATCCTCCCACAAGTCTTTCACACTCTCCGTATATGATATAGTGATTCACAAGGTTGGTTCGATTGTGTTGAAAATCCATACAACCAGCATTGAATTTACCATCCACCAATCTTCGATATCGGTCGAATCATCTGTTGGTTTATCCAACTTTCCGTCAATGAACCCGAGCTTTCTCTTTGCTCTGAGGGCGTTCCTCATAGATCTAGCCCACTCCTCGTAGTTATCACCTTTCAATTGGACAGGTGAAATGATCAGGGTTGTCAGACTGGTGCAAGTAGTATGGCGAGAATATGACCATGTCCCTCCCTGCACCTTTCCTACTGTCTTCTCCACCGGTCATGGTGGAAAAACTGTTGACGGCACTCTCGCGCCGCTTGTTCCTCCTGTGATCGCAGAACTTCTTAGCTTCAGAGATGGAACCGTTTCACAAGGATTTCGTCCGATGCGGGGTTGCTTCGCCCAAGAAGAGTGCAGCGAACAGTTACAGGTGCGCCGCTGCTCTGTTTCTGTTTGTCGACAGAGAGACGACGACAACGGTGCCTGAAAATGGCACTCTCGCGCCGCTTGTACCTCTTATGATCGCAGACCTTCTTCGCTTCGGAGACCGAACCGTTTCACAGGGCTTCGTCCGATGGGTTGCTTCGCCAGGAAGAGTGCAACACACAGTTACGGGTGCGCCACTGCTCTGTTTTCGTTTGCCGACAGAGGAACGACGACAGACCTTCCTCTTCTATTTCTCGAAGGTTACGTGCAGATCTGGTTTCCCAATCAAAACGATGTCTTTGTTCTGAGGTTGTAGTGTTTGCCACCGGTGTGATTGTTCGGATAAACGCCAGAGGCCACTTTCTAGTACCTTGAAATCTTTGCCGATGATTAAATGGGCATTCAATCCGGTTTGTGGTTAGAGGGTTTTCTCTGATACGGTTGTTTAACAGGAAGAAAGTAATATCAATACCTTACCGTCGTCGAAGAAGATACTACATAGTGGTCATCGCGAGGGAAGGCAACACCCCCTTGTCGTCGCCGGAGAAGAAGGTAAAAAAATCGCTTTTTAACCATATTTTTTGCCCCTTTGGTTATGATTCTCTGTTGAATTTTTAGATCAGTTGTCTTGTGTTGTCCATTCGTTAGACATACAAAAATCCCATGGTTTCTTTGTCTTCTTTAGTCTTGTTTAGTCGATAGATGTAGATTATTTTGGGTTTAGACATCTTCACTTTTTCTTGATTTTCGGATAGGAATAGCAATGCATTTTATGGTGGACGATGGAGACTGAACAGGGGATGGGGGGGCTTGAACAGGGGATCACGGTTGTCGTCGCCAAGGAGCTTCAATAGTGGCTCACGGTGGACGGTGGAGACTGAATGGAGAAATTCAACAGTTGCTCACGGTTGACGGTGGACACTGAAAGGAGATCTCCAACAGTGGTTCGTTGACGGCAAGTTTGAACCTGGGAGATCGTTGATGGCGAGTTTGAACTTGGGAGATCGTTGACGGCGAGCTTACTGTGAGATCACTGATGGTGAACTTCGGTGTCCTTGTTCCCCTTCCCTTTTTCCCTTCGACTGTATTAACACTCAAACACAATGGGCGAAATGGTCAATAAGTATAGAAAAGGGTAATTTTGCCATTTTAAAAAAATTATTCACACTTGACATCACGTGATGTTATTGACTGACGGTCGACTAACGGGACTTATCAAAAACAAATTAAAAGTCCAAGTCTGCAAGATACTGCAGAGACACGTTTAAAAATTCGGAAATTGATAAGAGAGAGACAACCCTAAAAGTTCAGGATACTGTTCAGAATTTTTTCCTAAAGACAAAAAGACTACTTAACAATACTGGCCTGAGATTGTCAATGCTGTGAGTTTGGTAGAACTTCCATGCCTGTCTGTTTCATCTTTTTAGCAACTTTCTTTTGATCTCTAGGGTCTGTTTCTTTCTAAGGGCGATTGTCTTCCTCCATCTCCTCGTCCAGATCTTCTAAACTCAGAAAAGAAATTGAGGAGGATGGTGGTCTCTGGCGATGGCGGAGATTCATCTGGAATACTGATAAAATCGGATTATGATCGGATGAAAGAATTAAAGGAATTCGACGACTCTAAAGCTGGCGTAAAAGGACTAGTAGACTCTGGCCTGGTGAAGGTTCCTCGTATATTCATCCACCCACCTGAAGAGTATGATGGTAGGTCAGTTTCCAATCAGACCCACTTCACAATTCCGGTCATAGACCTAGATGGCATCGGCAAAGATGCTATTCGACGCAGGGAGATTGTCGAGGAAGTTCGGAATGCATCAGAGATGTGGGGCTTCTTTCAGGTGGTGAATCATGGGATCCCTGTAAATGTTTTGGATGAGATGCTTCAAGGGGTGCGTGGATTCTACGAACAGGACATTGAAGTGAAGAAAAAGTTCTATACACGTGATTTGAGGCGCAGACTGGTGTATAATAGCAATAATCAATTGTATCAATCACCAGCAGCTAATTGGAGGGACAGTTTCTATTGCTTCATGGCTCCGGAGCCTCCTCAGCCAGAAGATTTGCCTGCTGTGTGTAGGTATGTCATGAACAAAGAAATTAATAGACGACCTGGTACGTATCAAGCAATGATAAATGAACCTTCATATATAATTGATACAGCCAAGGATGAAATTCTTGTTTTTTTTTTTCCTGATTATATCAACTGAAACGGAAGGACTCTAGAGCAATCACAATCTCCCAAACTTCCCACGAGAGGCCACAACCAGAACAAATAGATCCAAGACTAAGCCTTCCAGGAATCTAACAACTCTTATCCTCTGATCATCTTGCCTCGGAGATAAACAAACATCTGATTCCGAAAAGTAAGCTACTCTCGTTCGAATAGCGCTGGGCTAAAACCGTGGAATCAGGCTCTCCTGACACCCACCTCACTTCAGATGGGGTGGCTAACAGGGTCGGCCTAGCCCATTTTAGCATCTTCACTTCAGATGATATCTGAATGAACCTTCATATATAGAAAAGAAAGTTTATCATGATTTTCATTTCTCTATGTTCTTGGTTCTATTTGCTTCCCCTTTTTTTTGGATCATCTTGTGATAATTATAAGGTGGCCTAGATGGCAATTAATTATAATAACATCGTTGATCTTTCAGAACTAATTTTGGTATACTTTTATGTATGTTCTTGAATTGTAGAGATATAATGATGGAATACTCCAAACAAGTGAAAAAATTAGGGATTTTCTTGTTTGAATTACTGTCTGAGGCTTTGACACTTAAGTCAGAACACCTGGTAGACATTGGGTGTGCCGAGGGGCATGCGTTGCTGACCCACTACTATCCATCATGCCCAGAGCCGGAATTGACGATGGGTACCAGTAAGCATGCAGACAATGATTTCCTTACTGTGCTTCTACAAGACAACATCGGTGGCCTCCAAGTCCTTCGTGAAAAGCAGTGGGTCGATGTTCTACCGATGCCTGGAGCTTTGATTGTCAATGTTGGAGATCTTCTACAGGTAAGCCTTTTTCTTTTCTTCTAATAAATTACCCAAATTAGAATGGGTGTGATGCTTTTGCTGGTTCAGAGTTTCAGATTGACAATTTGTTTTGGGTTTCTACCTGCAGCTTATCTCAAATGATAGATTTAAAAGCGTAGAACACAGAGTACTCGCAAACCGCATCGGCCCCAGAGTATCGGTGGCGTGCTTTTTCACCACACCTGTAAATCAGGCATCCGGGAAGTTGTATGGGCCGATCAAGGAGCTGTTGTCAGAAGAAAATCCACCCATCTACAGGGAAATCACGGTCCAAGAGTATATTCAACACATCATTGCAAAAGGACTTGACGGGAACTCATTGACACGTTTCAAATTGTGAGCTTGACAATCATATAAATATGCTCCTTTTATCTGTATGGTTGGACTAGTATAGTATTTTGCTCAATTCGTGGTCAGACCTAAAGCTGCAAACTTTTGGTGAAAATCTTAAATTCATGTTCAAATGCATAAGTTGAAGGTCTTCGGTTTACAGGAAGATGTTCGGGCTCATGGAGGAACCTTAAACAAAAGCTGGATGATGCCAATCCACCTGTAGTGCCCGTCTAAGAGGGCTAAAGCACATGAACTTCTGGCTTTCGAGGCGGGGCCTCACACCTACAGCCCAGATTTTTTGCTGTTGGTCGGTATTTGAAGGGCTGTCTGCTTCACAGCTTATTTGAATAGCTCATCTGGAGCACTTAAAAGCAACTGAATCAGCTTAGGTCTTAAACTTTTAATCTTTAATTTAGTGCCTATTTGGGAGGGCTGGAGCACAACGGCTATTAGCTTTTTAAGGTGTTTTGCACATGGGCAGCCTAAAAGTTATGTAGAGAACCTAAATTGACTGAACCAGCTTAACTAAGTCTTTAGTTCAATCCTCCCAAACGGACCCTTAGTCAGATGGTTGACTGGCTATTGGCACTTCACATCCACTCCCATGCAATAGGTGTTGGGTTTGGAACAAGGGAATTATTTTATTAGTGAAGCTGTGGCCGGCCTAGGATGTGATTGGTAGAAGTAATTGATTAACCTGACTCATTTGGTCTGACATGGTGGGTCAGGTCTATCATCTATGGTTTTAGATTAATTCAGAACAATGTTTTAAATCAAGAAGGGTTTGTCAGCAAATCTTGTAGTTGGTTAATTTTCCAACCAGATTGAACTTTGCAGTTTGATGTCAAACATGATTTCTATAGCTTTACAAATTTAATGCGTTAGATTAGAAAAAAATGAAATAGATAAAGTAACATGATGTAACCCTTATTAATTACACCAAATGTATTTAGAAATTTAACAAAAGGTTGTCAATTGGGAGTTAACAGCGTTTTTTTTTTAATTGGGAGTTGGAGAAAAGGTTCTAAACTACTTTCGGCGTTTTTTTTTTAATTGGGAGTTGGAGAAAAGGTTCTAAACTACTTTCGACTGATTGGGAGTTGGACAGCTTCTCAAAAGACTTCGATAGGGCCTGGGCCTAAACCTCTTCAAGTTGAATTAGGCTGGTCCAAGGCTGATCTTGGCTCAGTCCAAGCTATGGTGGCGTTACCTTTTTCAATTGATTATATGTGGGGAAATTGAACGGCTACTCTAGACAAGGCAACCTGTTAGTAGTTGGCACACCATCTACACTGGACGAAATTCATTTTTTCATGGTTTTAATGGAGAAAAATTATTGTGGTGCAACCGATTAATTCTAAGTTTGGGAGTGCTTAAAAATAAACACTCATGATCACACTAATAAGTACTTATTTGTGTTTGGGAAATAAGTCCAAAATGAGCAAATGGGATTTTCTACTCACTTTCCCTACCCACTCTTTATCCGTTGTTAATTGCAGCCACATATCTCTATTATGAATTGAGAGATGTGTGACTGCAATATATGGCGGGTAGAGAGTGAATAGGAAATCTGGGTTCCAAAATAAATGCTTATTATGAGAATAAGCACTTATTTAAAAATCACAAAATTTAGGCTTATTTTTAAGTGCTTATTCAATAAGGGCTAATTTCCTTTCTAGCCTATCTTGGCCCGTCATATCATTTTAAATAAGCATTCCCAAACTTTGCTTAATAGGAATAAATGGTATAGATAATTGAAAAATATGGCATGTCTGGTGTACTTCTCCTTAAGGATAGTTTTAAGGGTTTGTTTGGTTCACGGATAAGATTAGAATCGGATTCACCTATTCTTTGTGCTTGTTTCGTTCTGTCAGGAATCAGAATCATGTTCCAATTGTTGCTGTTTGGTTCAACCAGAAGCCAAAATCGGAATTAGATGAAAATTTCAATTTTGCCCCTATTAAAAGAACCTAAAAAACAACTTACTTATTAAACTGCTTGTGCTTGTAGAGGTTGAACTACTTGTTTCCTTTTCTTTAGTTTTCTTCTTTGAACTACTTGTCTTGTAGAGGTTGAAATGTTGGGTTGAGGATGATTAGCCCTTATCACCTAAGTCACCATCGTCATTGCTAATATGTGTTTCATCATTTTCTGCCTCATCTACTTCTATATGGTGGATAAACTTTCTAAAAGTTTCAACTGATTGGCCAATTGTCTTATCTTTACCATAAATCTCTCCAAGTTCCCAGAACGATTTGAATTCCAAACCATTCATGCCACCCACATCCTTGTGAGATTAACATTATGAATAATAAAAGCTATATCAAAAGATAAATAAATAAAGGAACAAACAAAGTATAATAGATAACAAATGGGTGGTCAACTTACTTTGCACCAATGCTCATATCAATATTTTCCACATTGAATCATTTTCTTTGTATCATCCCACTTACAGTCACTTTCCTTTAACATCTGAGTAATTGTAAAGTATTTTTGCTTAAGACATTTAAGCCTACAATCAATATGAGGATTTGCTTGTAAACTAGAACTGAGAATCCTTGAATGAATCATATCCACATTGAATCGGTACTTAATTCTTGTAAAGTTTTGATCAATGCCTTATCTTCTTCATCAAGTTACTTGCACTTGTTTTTCCCCCATACCATGTTCAGATAAAGTAAATCTCAACATTGGTAAACATCTTTTCAACTAAAGATAATTATTCAAAAGTATATGAAAAAAATGAACAACAAAACTTATGGACATTTAAAATGCAACAAAGAAACATAAAAAAGGAACTAGCATATAATTCATTCATTGCATGTTAATGATAAAAAAATAATACACTAAACAATGATAAAATAATGTATCATGTGTTTCATAATTGATAAAAGACCTTCTAAATAAAAGGAAATAGTACATAAGGAAAATAATAAACTCAAACATCCTATATAGTAACCAACAATTAGGCTTTAGCTCTAGCTCTCTAGTTGTTAAACATGAAATGAGCTACATTATTTCTAAAGTTGGCTCATTGATCATTAGGGATATTAGTAATAATGTACTCCATTTTGTCTTTCTCCTTTATTATCCTAGTCCTCTTCATTTTCATAATCCTCTCCAACTTCATTCTTCATTGGATTACTAAGGATCTTCCAATAATTCAAATCAACTCTTTATGACATTCCTTACTTTGACCTTATATTAAAATACTCCTCTACAATACATGGTTGTCGTTCATCCCTCCATTTATTGAGATGATATTGTTGGCTTTTATATGGGGAAAGAAAATTCTTTGCATTGTAATACCTGACATCCACCAAATAGTAATGGCCTTGACACATGTGATGTATGAGAAAGAAGGATGTTAACAAATAAAATTGAATATTAAGTTAACTAATTCATCAATACTAACACAACTATTTACCATTAGGCATAGATATTGCATCCTAAAGCACACGACCATCATGTGCAGAGCCTTCCCAATCAAGCAACACATGAATAAATCGCATGTGTCTTCGACATGAATAGTAACTGAAATCATTGTACCATCTAGTGCCCTTATACAATTCTACAATATAAAAGCAATTCTAGTTTAACACAAATGTGTTAAAACACAATGCAAAGATATTAATCGATAAAATAATCAAATTATATGATACCTTGTAACATTTTCACCTATTGTTGATGCATTCCTCCTTGATGGGCTTAGGGTTTTTTTACCAATACTCTATGTATCCTCAATATAACTAGGAGACATCAAGTAAATTGATGGTTTCAGTTTCTCTACTTTTCAGGAAATCAACACCAATAATTCTATTTTTATGGTGGTAAACTAATGTATAAAGAAATATTGCAACAATTTCTTGTACTAACATTCCTAGTACTCCTCAACCCCCTAATATCTATAACCATCTCACATGATACACAAAAAGTGTGTCTATCCATTTTAAGCTCACTTAGACAGTATACATCACTCTCTGTAGTGAAGCCTATTTATATATTCTATCTATTTTATCATCCTCTCATGTTTACTAGATAATAATGACCGATATCTTCTTATTGTAAGATGCATGAACACAATATAATACCGCATATTCAACAAGACAATCAATAATATGACCATTAAACACATAATTCGGGTATTACAAATGCATTTTTGCATTTTTTTGAAATTGGAAGCCGAGCCATTTTCTGTGTAATGATATTAAACACGACACATATATAAAACATAAAATACATATTTGAGCTATTCAACCTAAATTAAAGAACAATATCAATTAAATGGGAACTAGTAACTATGACCAGAAAATATGGGCAAGAAAAAGAAAAAACAACCTGGATTATTAGATTGCTTAGTCTTGCCATAGGATCTTTTAATCTGGGAAAAATTCTCAATTAGTACTCGATACATTGGGCCTAGTGCCACTTTAGTCTCCGAACTTTAAAATGTGACAATTCAATACCCGAACTTTCAAAACATGTCAATCTAGTACTTGCTGTTAGATAGCTTGTTAATTAATTGTTAAGTGGTATTTAAAAAGACACGAATACCCTTCGAGTGTTATCTAATTTTCTTTATCAATCATCCAAACGTTGATAAAAAATGAACAGTTCCAAATCCTTGTTCCTTTTATTCAAAAAAGTTGGGGTTACTAGAATGAATGCCCACTGAGACGTGACCCCAACTTTCTTGAATAGAACAGTGAAGGATTTGGGACTGTTCATTTTTTGTCAATGTTTGGATGGCTGATAAAGAGAATTAGATGACACTCGAACGGTTTATATTTTTTCAAATGCCACTTAACGGCTGATTAATAGGTTGATTAATGACAAGTACTGAATTGACACATTTTGAAAGTTGAGTACTAAATTGTTGAATTTTAAAGTTTAAGAACGAAAGTGGCACTAAACCCAAAGTATAAGGTATTAATCAGGAATTTTTCTGTTAATTTGTAAAAATATTTACCCTTTAGATTTCTTCACTAAGCAACTGACTTGTAAAGCTCCTGTTTTCTTTGTACTTTAGATTCCTGTCTCACAAGCAATTTCTTCACTAAGCAACTGACTTGTAAAGCTCCTGTTTTCTTTGCCTCTAGATTCCTGTCTCACAAGCAATTTCTTCACTATTCTATTTTCCAAACAAAGGTTTGTCCTCTAGATTCCTGTCTCACAACACTCATATTACTTATCAACCATTCCTGCAACAAATTGTTTCTTTAGTCTTTACTATGTGGCACCATTTCTGTTTGTTTATAGCTACAATTTGCACTTACCTGATCATACAAGATCTGTACCTTTTCTTCACATTTGCACCCACCGGTAATGGTTGCACTACCTTAGCTAAGACCATACCATAGTGCTTCCTATCACACTCCTACACAAATAACCCCGGCTTCCTCTCTCCTTTGTTTCTTATAAAGTGAGTATTCATTTTATTTTTCACAATTTCACAAACAAATAAGACGTAGTCAATTCTGAAATAAAAGTAAACCACAATTTATTCGGCTTATTTGTGGCAATCATTCCAATCAACAAATAAGGCTGGAAGTAAAAAATGATAAATTGATAAGAAAAAATGGAGGAAGCAAAAAATGGACAGTGAGAGTACGGAGAAACACAGGGAAGATCGAAGAACAAAGATTGAAAAGTCTGCTGCTACAGTGGCGGCGGCGCCCCGCAGTTGGCGGACGAACGGAGAGCAAACGGAGAGATGAAGAACTGAGCTGTTAGTGTTACAAATGGAGAGAAGAAGAAATTGGCGGTTCCTCTGTGCTATGGCGGTCGGCAATCGGAGGTTCCTCTATGCT